CATCCCTCCTCCTAAGGAGGCTCCAAATGTCCCCCTTCTGAATTGCATGTGGCCAATAATTCTGTCGCTGCTGCCTCATAATTTCCGTTTTTGCATTTTGTGGCGGGGAGAGGGAGCTCCTGGGGCTTTCGCGATTTTAGGAGGGGAGAGGAGGTTACTGGGGCTGCGGTGGGGAGAAGGGAGGTGGCTATGGGAGAAAAGGAAAGGGGGGGTGGGGGAGTGTACCTGACAGAGAAGCAAGCAATTGTAGTGAAAGGTGGTTGCTAGTGTCCCCTTGAGTTCCATATGCCGAAGAATTTTTATTGCGGCCTCGTGATTTCCATTTTCACAATTCACTTTGACGAGCGTGTCGTACATCATCTGTGTCGGCGTCATTCCGGAGTCCAGTCCCTTCAGAAAAACGCGGTTGGCTTCCTGAAGATCTCCCGCTCTTTCAAGTTCACCTGCAATTAAAATTTTAAAAAAGGGTTTTTTTTCCCACAGAGTAAGAGGAGTAAGAGGACTGCCATATATATCCAGAGAACCGTGAAGTGAACGATCGTAGTGGGAAAAATTTTAAAAAAAAACTCGATGACCTGGAAAGTGGACACCAGATTGTTTACCATGGACAACATAAATCTGAATTTTTTTGTTTTCCCTGTTCTCTCTTTTCTTTAACATAACAGAAATTACGTAGTCACTGAATTTTACAAAAAGTGTTGAAAACCAAAAAGATATAACTAACGTCAAAATCACAAATAAAAATAAGGGAAAATTTTCGAAATGCCCCTGAAGTTTGCGTTTATTTGTGGCGTGCCCCTGTGAAGGCCGACTTACCCTGTTATGCCCCTCGGGCATCTGAAATTTTCCACAGGCCCCTGTCAGCATGGGGCGTAACTTTCCAATATGCCCTTACTGGACCGCTGATGGCGTTTCGTCAGTCCGTCCTTGAAATGCCCTCACGAGGGGCACACATCTTTCTGTGATGCCCTTGCAGCAGTGGGGACAGCAGTGGGGACAGGAATTCGAACTCGAAAATGGTAGCCATTTCACGCGCCGCCAGGGGAAAATGGTGCAGCAGTCAGTCTTCAAGTTCGCCGCGCCATGGATCGCTGCTCCCTCCTCCTCCACCTATGCTCATCGCCCTCCTCCCTCCTCCTCCATCCATGCTCGTCATTCTCCTCTCTTCTCCTCCAGCCTCCATCCTCTATCCTCGTCCATCGTCGTAGTCCTTGTCCTCCCTACTCCTCTTCCCTCCTCTTCCCTCGTTCTCCCTCCCCCAACTTTCTCCTCGTCACCCCTCCCTCTCCTCCTCCTCGATTGTCGACTCCTAACCATCACCATGGCCGTCTTCTTGTCGTCATCGCCCGTGCACGCGCGCGCGTCTGTATGTGTGTGTGTGTGTGTGTGTGTGTGTGTGTGTGTGTGTGTTGTGTGTGTGTGTGTGTGTTTGTGTGTGTGTGTTGTATGTGTGTGTGTTGTGTGTGTGTGTGTTGTGTGTGTTTGTGTGTGTGTGTTGT